AGATTGATATATTGGGCACACAAGATGGCGGTAGACGTATAACTACAGCGAAATCGCATTTAGATAGCAACCGTAAAAATTTGCATGTTATACGACAGGCACATGTGAAACGTGTAAATTTCAATGCTGAAAAGAAAGCAACTGGGGTTACTTTCATGCTTAATGGCAAACGGGAATACACAGTACAAGTGAGCAAGGAAATAGTGCTGTCAGCTGGTGCAATAGGCACACCACAAATTTTAATGTTATCAGGTTAAAAATAACAATACAATTAAGTTTTCTTATAAGTTTTAAACCCATATGCGTTTACAGGTGTGGGTCCAACTGCACACTTAAAGAAACATGGCATACCAACCATGTTGGATCTTGCTGTAGGACAAAACCTAAAAGATCATGCCAGTTTACCAGTTGTTTTTCAAATCGATAAGTCTACTGCAAGAAAACCCACTGAAGAAGAATTGGTAGATGCTATGTATAATTTACTAATGGGTCGGCATAGTAAATTATTGCATCACGAAGCCACATCATTAACTGGTTTCATTAACACTACTTCAAAGACCGGACCAAATCCTGATATACAAACAACTAATTTCTATAGCTTAATGCAGAGTCCTGAATTGAAAGGTTATGTTGCTGCCACCGGTTTTAATGAACGCGTTGCAAAATCTATTTTGGCGGCAAATCAACTATCAAATACTTATATCACATATCTGCTGCATTTGAAACCCTTCTCTTTTGGTCATATTGAGTTAACCAGCGCTAATTACTTGGATAAACCGAAAATCTATGCAAATTATATGTCTGATAAACGTGATATAGATACTTATGTACGCGCCTTAAAGATATATAGTAAATTACCGGAAACGAAGGCTTTTAAGATACGTGAAGCTGCTCTACATAAAGTAGATTTGGAAGCTTGCAATTCTTTAGTTTTTCAATCAGACGACTATTGGCGTTGTTATATTAGACACATGACTACTACCGTATATCATCCGGTTGGAACTACTAAAATGGGTCCAGTGACTGATTCACAAGCTGTTGTAGACTGGCGTTTACGTGTGCATGGTGCACAAAACTTAAGAGTTATCGATGCTAGCATTATGCCGGACATTGTTGCAGCTAATACTAATGCTGCCATCATTATGATTGGCGAGAAAGGTGCTGAGATGATAAAGGAAGATTGGGAGCAGAATGGTGCTCGCAAAAATACTCACAATGAATTGTAAAATGTTTCCTATTTAGTTTTATTTTTTAGTAAAAAAAAAAAATTTTTTTTATAACTTTTGGAAAGGTTAAGAAATATATAAAAATATAAATGTAAAAATTATTAAAATTTATGACTATTTTAGTTAATAGAGACTATTGTGTTTAATAGAGAGGTTTCGAGTGAGGTTGTAGTGACTGGCAACAACATAAAAATTTTATTTTTATTATTTTAATTAATTGAAAAAAATTTTGTTTGTTGTAATTCACTACTGTTGAAAACCTCTCTGAAATATTTTAGAGTATATTGCGTACATACAATATATAATATACTATATATAAAGCTGATTTGAAGTATATAAGTTAAAATAGACACATAAGAATAATGTTATTCCAAATTTTGTTCCTATTGGATGAAATATTTATTCTATTATATATTATTTTTAATTCTATGCTCTGTTTAGGGAGCATTGCGAAATAATTTACGATATTCATTTGAGGGAACCGACTTTAATGAATAATGTTGATTTTTACAAAGCAAATACATTTGTATGTATTTAGTATAACATTCTCTTAAATTAAATGCAGTATGTATTTCGTCAGAAAGATATACTGGGCTTCAAAGTATACTTCTATATAATTATCTGAATAATTTATTATCAGAATTCAATGAAGTTTTTATTACAGTGGATCATTCAAATGGTTATAGACACTATTGAGTAAAAGTGTTTTAGACACTAACTAAGGTTCGATAAAGTAAAAAAGATGAAGATGAATGAAGGTAAACTCAATAACTTATTTTTTTTATTTCTATATATTAATTTGTTAACATCAACGGTTAAATTATTATATTTTATATAAGTTACAATTAACAGATTTTATTATCTAAAATTTTCTTTGGTGTTAGTTACATATTTAACGACACTGCACAGTTGGAAAGTGTTTGTGACCAGTCACTTGGTTTTTAGCTTCGATAAGTACCCAATACCCCGTTCACATAAATACAGTACCTTTTAAACTGTTTTTAATTTCAACGATTTTACATCACAGGCAAATTTAACTGTATAAAGAACATGGCAACACTAGTCATTTAAATTATTCTACATGATAGCAAATTATACATGAAAAATATAGAATATAAAGAAATATAAATAAATTAATTATTCTAAATTCGGTCAGTATAAACTGTATATATTTTTATTACAATCGCCACAAATTGCATATTGCCAATTATAAGAACATTAATTATAGATGTTTTATCCATCCTGGGGACAAATTTATTACTTCTTATAACATAATGTCCTTATAACGCCGTCAAAGATCAAAAAACATCGTTATAAAGAACTAATAAAACTAAAAATTATGAAACAGGTTTTAAAGGCTTTCGTAGTTATTAACGAGATATTATAGTTTTCGCTGAGATTAACAATAATTGTTTTAATATGTATAATTTAATTTAATATATATATTTATAATTCTCAATTACTTCCTTATTTTATATCAATATAATTCCAACTGAAACGTGGTGATGTTTGAATTGAGTTTAATATAAGATTAAGTATTTTAGTATTTAAGTGTGAATCGTTTATCTTCTTTTTCCTCGTTAATTGGAATAGTAATTATATTGATGTTATTTTGTTGATTTTAAGCCGTTGTGAAGTAAAAAAATTCGAATGTGGAGAAATTAAACCCGATTGGTTTAATTTATCATGTCAAATTTAGTTGAAAATAAAAACTGTAAGCATATTCTGAGGAATAGCAAAACAAAAATCTTTGAACTATTCCCAGATATTGTAAAATATTCAATCAAATAGTTTATCAACATTATTTGATTTGTTGGTAGATCTTTAATATTATAAATTTTAAATTTAATAAAATCTGCAAATACAATTGATACAGACTAAATGTTAAATATTAGATAACTAAATACTGTTCTAAAATATAAATTTTTCTTTTACAGCTAAAACTACCCCACCGTAGAACTTCAAGGAAAACACTCAACAGAAAGTAGAACAAAATTGAAGACGCATCCTAGCCCAAGGATATTATCAGCATAAACGATCAAATAGTACGACTTGAAGATTAAGGCTGATATTTGTGCATTTAATTTCAATTTCTATCTAATAAATAGCGTATTAAGTTCTATAAGACTATATGAATCAAAACACTTTGAGTGTAGGCAGTGACAATACACGGTAGGCAGTTAATTTTTATAAGTAGTTAAGCAGTAGAGCACTAGAGCACTAGTTATCAAATCTTCTAATAAAGGTAAATAGAAGAATGCGTATTGGAGAAGATTTCTTAGGTCGTTTATAAGATAAAACTTTTTGAATGGGCGGTGTTGAGAAGTTTTATAAATAGTTGGACTAAATAGTGCTAGTCATCAAATTTATTACTAAAGGTAAGAATTGTATAAGAAATAATATTAGGTCGTTTATAAAATCTGCAACGAAATTAATTATGAAATATAGTTATGGAATCAAAGAAAATAAATAGATAGCAAGTCAAGTGTTTAAGATAACTCTTGATATATATATATATATAGTTGTGACATATAGAGAAATAAATTTGGATTTCATGTGAAAATTAAGTGGTTAAGGTATTATAAAAAAACTTCTAGCAAACCAAATCATCAAGAGAGGGAACATCTTCAACCAAGAGCTATACGATACCGTAATGGACTCATTGCGCGATATATGTGGAAACTCGTTCTTGAACTTAACTTAACCTAAATGGAATAGTGTATTTCAGTAAAAAGTATAACGACACTACAAATAAATACTTTGTAAAACCGATTTTAGTTATTTTTTCGTATGTAATTTGTTATTGCTTCTAAATGAAATTGACTATAACATGATCTATAACAAGCAACTTTAAATCTAGAATTATTTTTGACTATGAAAATAATTGCTAGAACATAGTAACAGCAATTCAAACCCTGACTAGAACATATGTTAGAGAAGTGCTTTAATACTATCTAGTGGTATGATAGGTAGTTTTACCTATTCAATGATATTACTGATGATAATATCTTTTAGGAGCAAATACGGTTCCCAAGTAAGATGTAACAAACAGGTATCAAAAAGAAAAAATTATAATAATTAAATTAAGAAAGTCTCAGTCCAAACTGGCAGTCATTAAAGTTCAAAAACTGGATAAAAATTTAATGAAAATCTGCGAAGTGTTATATAAGTGCCATTTATATATATAACAAAATAATGAAAATAATAAATATTTGTTAGTTATTTTCTAACTAGTTTATTAAATATTATGATTATAAAATATGATTTAATGTGTCGTCAAATGCAAAGGTCGGCAATAAAAGTGAAATGCTCCGACCAAATTAGAGTATCAACTGTAAATTTATCAACTTAAGTTTCTCATATTTGTTTATTAACACATTTTAATGTACGTGGAGTAATGATAAGTGCTCATTAAAATACCGATTTTCGGCTTGGTACCGCATTAGACCATTCCACTGCCCAAAGGTGAAACTTTCTCTTTAACTAAACACCGTCGACGACGCATTAAAGAAGTGACTTAATTGAAAATTATTTTCGGCTGTCAAAAAGTTGATTGAATTGAATTTGTCATTAAACAGCAAAAATATTAAATATCAGGTGACAACAACAAAGTTAATTGTTAACACACAAAAAAAAAAAAATTCAAATAATTCAAATAATAATTTTACATTTAAATTAATTACAAATAAATTCGCATTCGAATAATGCAAAAAATCGTGTGAATATGACTGGATATTTTTTTTTTTGCTATATGATTTTATTTGGGTTTGCTTTAATTTCTTATTGATTTTGGGGATTTTGAATTTTAATTTGCAATGATATCGAATCAATTGTAGTAGGAAACAATCTAGCGTACAAAATTGTATCTTTGTTTGGTTGTTTGTTATTTTTTGAATTTGGTTTTTTTTAATGAAGTCTATTTAATATTCGAATTTATTGCTTGAAGGTATCAAGTACACTTAAATATGTTTCTCAATTGACTAACTTTTTAATGACTTGCGCTTACATAGGCTGGAAATGACTTGAAGTACCCATATAAAAGAAGCAGCCATGTTCAAAATTAAGTGAATAAAAGTATGTAAACAACGGTAAAAAAAAAAATTTAACGGTAAAAATATTTTGCAAAGGTAGTTATGCAATCAATATTAAAAAATTTTAAAGTTGATTTAAATTGCCAGAAGTAACAAGTTTCAAAATAGAGAGCGTTGTGATTATTGACCGGGAAACACCTTGACAAGTGATGCACTTTGCAAAGACTTGTATAATTTTGTTAGGAAACACAAAAAGTACTTAATCCTTTCAAATTTAATATACTAATGTTTAATCAATTATTTAATGAATGGTATAAATGTATTAAAGGTAGTACGTGGGCTTATAGTATGTTTCCAAAGCCTTCGTAAAAGCAATTTATTTGATCTATGTCGCTAATGAGATATGATTAAACATACAAAGGGCTTTCCTGCATTTTAACTTATAGCACATTTACACTATCTCATTTCATTATGGCCACTAATAAGGATGATTTAAGATACCATAAAAAGAGCTTTGATAAAAATGAGCTCATTATCAATCAATCAGTTCATTTAAGGAGAAAAATGTCGAATGCAACCATCAAAAATAGTAAATGTCTTAGCAATCAAGGAAATAGCCATTTAACTAAATAAATATGAGGCAACTAAGACGATAATAAACATACACATGGATAGTCTGGCGAACATCAAATTGATGAAATCAGTAACAGTAAGATTAAAGATTGCTCAGGATTTCTTGGCAGCTCTAAAGTGCCAGGGTAGGCTTAATATGGGTTCTGGTGATATGTGTAATGTGTACGCACTCTTGTGTGCTGATTCATTAGCACCGTTACTCGTTAACGAAAAGACTTATGAATCATTTCTGTGGCGAATGTAAATGCGTATAAATAGTGCATGAGAAAAATATTTATACGTATTTATGTTGGTTTTTTATAAGTGTACTATAATTGTTGAAATTATGACATGTTGCAGTTCTCTGACACACATCCATATAAAAAGTCTTATGATATTATTTACAGTAGTAGCGTATATGCGTTACTACATATATTGGCATCGC